TATATATATATTCAAAGATCTCTGATATTTAGAACAACAATAAACGTCGTGTGTCTGTGGATGTCCCTCGAGTGAGCCGTTTTATCGAAACGCGATAAACACGCCGGAAGTATTCCCGGCACGGGGAAATCGCCCGGAGTAAAATGAAGTCGAGAGCGGAAAAACGACGGAAGGCGAAGTGGGCAATGCGCCGGAGGTTTCTTGCCACGCGCGCGTTTCGGAATTGCGGAGTGTCATCGATCGCGCTCACGCGCGCGAATTAATCTAACTTCGGCGAGCTCGAGCAACCGAGCAGCTCACGGTCGGCAAATTCGCTTTCAGGGCCCAAGGGAGAGATGGGACTGCAGGGCTTGCAGGGGCTCAATGGAACCGACGGCGATCCTGGTATCCAAGGACCCCCCGGATTACCGGTAAGTGGGACGCAAATGAGAAATGGTTTCCCCAAATCTCCTCGTCTTTCCACGCCCTTCATGGTGTAATATTCGGGAGACGTTATGGCCACCGTGTTTTACAAAGGTGACGAAAATTTAATATCCCTCGCGTTGTCGGACTTTTGCATAATGCCAGCGTATTTGCAGTGATTGTTGAATCAAGTTGAGCAAATGCGAGAGAGAATCTCCCGAAAGTTGTAGGAAAATAAATTCATAGTATTATATATACTTAATAGGGAGTTTCTGCAATACCGTTTATCCAGATACGGAATGTTTTTAATTAATTAAATGGATAACATGACTTTAGCGTTTATCGTATCTGAAATTACGTTATTGCAAAAACTCTGTATTGTCCGCTATTTTTCTGTGACATTTTTCGATGCCTTAAGAATTAACGTTTCTTTCAGTAGCATTAATATATCGCTTAACAAATGCTACAAAAAATGTGATTTCCGAGTTATTAGTATAAATGAGTTAAGTAAACATTTTTGCATTGTCCAAATAGACTTTAAAAGAATATTAAGCACGTTATTTCAAAAAGGATATATCCGCGCTATTATGTATTAAATATTAGATATCCCTTCTGCGCTGAATTATTACCAACACTATAATACCTGTAATATTATATCAACGCAATTTTCAGTTGCGCTCATATAATGTTTCGAATATTATGTGTTAAATCTACTTAATGTGCAAATTCAATATTACGTAATATATGGAAGGTTTTTTAAAGGAAGAATAAAATATAAAAATACGACCAATATCTATGAATATATTATATAAATATAGAAAGAGTATATAAAGATAGTTAAAGCTAGATGTTTGGGATAGTAATAATTAATATAAATTCCTAAATATATTTGTTTCAGTCAAACTGTGCGCCACATATTGTCGGCCTTACAACACAATCATTCAACTGAAATAATAAATGTCCACAAATTAATTTTTGATCATCGAATTGACACTACTAGCGTACTTAAATTATTAAAGAATAAAGTTGTAACATTTTACATATGTCGCGTTTTCTTGTCCCTTATTTCAGGGAATATCCGGACCCAAAGGTGAAAAGGGCGACTACGGCGATATTGGTCCCCCCGGCCTTATGGGACCTCCGGGTCTACCCGGCCCACCGGTACGTAAATGGTCTTAAACGTCATAGCTTCAACGACCCTTCTTATCATAAATATTCCGTCTTATGTGATTCTACTTGTCGACAGGGCTATCCTGGACTGAAAGGCGAAAAGGGAGAGAAAGGCGAATCGGTGAGTTTGTTAAATTTTGTTACTTGCGTTGACGCTGTTTTGAAAATTAATGTGATATCAATAATTAATGTCTGTTCGATAAAAAAAAATAAAAAAAGAATTTATATAAAAGAATTTATATAATATAAATAATACGTATAATAAAACTAATAAAAATGGATGTAGAAAAAATTATATAAATATAGATAACATGAATTATATAATAAGAGAAGTATATAAGGAATTATAAATATATGCTTTCAACATACATATTTATTATTTTGCCTTTTTAATCTTGACCTAAATCGAATCATGGTTACAATATGATCCTATGAAATGATTGTATGAAATATGATCCTATCGAAATGATTTTGCAGAAATTAGTTTTATTCAGGATTCAATAAATTTAAGCAAAATTCTATTATCGAAGAATAATACTTATACTTTTTATGGACGATCATCGATAAATGCAGCTGCTGTGATTTCGATCGCGAAGCTGCCACATCTTCCGCATAAATGCTCATATTTTCGTCACAATAGTTTCACGATCGATCGCAGTTTTGATGCGATAGCACCAGAACTGCGATTTCGATGCAAGCGTGCGTTAGGCAGTATCTCACGATAAAATAAATTTCTTTTCATGGCGGGATATCGACCTTCCACCCATAGAAGTACAAAAAGCTCAGGCGAAGACAGGTATGTGACAGTTTGTATCTGAGATATCTTCATGCCTTCGTCCTCGATCGTGCGACAAAAGAATCGCCCTTGATCGAGGAAGGATGCGCGATGGAAAATCGTTAATGTTACATTGAATAGTGTAACGTGATAGTAATACAACATGTATGAACACAAATGCGCGTTTGTTCGCAGGGAGACGGCACATTCGAGATGAACGCCGGAGAAGTGGTAAGTTAACTCACGAAACGCGTTCTCTCATGAATGAATTCTCTAGTTACTACGATATACGGTAATGTCCGGTTTGTAAAAAATACAAAAAATAAAAATACGGTGGACAATATTACTTCGCTTCCGTGTTGTCTGTTCGAGCGGGTTTTAAATTTTCGGTTGCGCCATTGCGACATCGACTTTGTGCTCCGTTATGGCCGCGTTTTATGTAGTTATGTAACCCTTTGCGGCACGATTTATGGGGATTATAAAGCAATTCGCTCAAAGCTGTAAAAATTGTCGAACAAAATCCGTTTTTCTCCTCGATTTTATGATACATTCATCCGCGTTGGAATTTTTAGGAAAATAAAATACAATAATAATACTTTTTGTAATTATTCATTTTTCATTATTATTATCGATTAAAATTATAATTATGTCTTTTTTATAATTATAATCGATCAAAATCTTCATAGCTGTTTTAAAATCCAAAAATTAATTATGGAAGAATAACCTTTTCTTATCGATAAAATATACGATGCGATTTTTCGTGTTAGATCGCGCTCTAATAAATTATAATATTAGAAATTTTGCGGACGTGTTCAGATTCCCATCCAAGTGCTTTTTAGACATCATTTTATTCTTGTTTAATATTCGGTGAACAAAAGTAAAATGATCTTTAGATAACACTCGGATGGAAATCCGAACATAGTCCTGTGATATAATTTTAGTGATTAATTAACAATAGCTGCGTGGAATAGAATAAGCAGTTTTGCAAGGACAATTGGAAATACATTAATATGATTGGAATACATTAATATGATTGGTTTAGACCCAATGAGGAATTAAGGACAAGATCAATCGTATTAAAAAATTTTGCAACAGTTATAAAGCTGCTTTTTCTCCTGAACGCGTCTATTAAGCTTGTGACACACGATATTTGTTTTCCTATTGGATTCTTAGCTGGATTAGAATCTTGTCATCGCATAAGTTGCCATACTGACAGTGTCAGCATCGTAGCCAATACAGTGGCAAGAATTTATTCTAGCTAGCAATCCAGCAAGAAAACAAGCATCCTATACCGCCGGGGTTAATCGTATATGATGTAGCGAAAAATCACATCGCGTGCCTCTGATTTAAGTGTCGATAGTTATTAATTCGTGATATTGTCGATGTATAGATAATGGGCCCGCCCGGACCCCCAGGACCCGCTGGTACCCCCGGACTGCAGGGCCCACCCGGGATCAAGGGTGACAGAGGACATGATGGCGCCAAGGGCGATCCTGTCAGTAACCATTACCTATCTATTGTTCGCGTGTATAGAATATAAAAGCAGTTATACGCGTTCGCGTTCGCGCAATGGAAAACGAATGTTGATTTCTCTCTCCGAGATTGCAGACATCGAATAACAGAATCGATCTGTTTACATCGCTCCGTTTTGTTCGAAAAACCATCGTGAAAAACCTTTTATACATCAAGCTTTATATTTTTATTTATCTCCGTCGTACTATCACTGAATTTGGAAAACGTAACAACTACAGCGAGTCCGGTTATGATCGCAATAATAAATGGCGTTATTTTTTCACGTTTATTAGTTTAGTTCGTGCTGCGCAGAGAACAAAAAATGTACAATGCGCTAACAGAATAAAAAAAAAATCATTCTCTTTTGAATATTTTAATTTTCTCTATTTTACATCGTGATGATACGAAAAGTAAAGCCACAGTCGAGAAAGATATTCGTTCTGATCGCAAAATAATGAGAGAAAAGAAGCTGTAGTTGAGAACCCTTCGTATGCGAGAAAGATCGCGTTTGCGATGTGACTCCCGAGGCGTGAAGCTATTCACGCCGGTGATCTTTGAAATCACCTTTTTGCGTGCGCGACACCATTGCAATGCGGACAAGCCCGTTCTCACGCGTCGCTCTTTCTTTTTTCACGTTACAGGGAGAAAAGGGTGCCAAAGGGGATCCTGGTCCGATGGGACTGCCCGTACGTATTTTCTCTCCAGATTACACACAGCATGCACTCAAACACACGCACACACGTGTAGCCTTAAGCGCGCTCTAAAAAGGAAACGCGGATACAGGACGCACAAAGGCAGATAGAACGCAGATGGGACCCCCCCCGAACGTTCTCGGAAAAAAAAACTGTCCTGTATCCTTTGCTTTTTCTGCAAAAAAATCGCGTTCCGAAAATTCCGAACGTTACATTGTTAGCGTTAGTATCTCTTTCAGTCCATTTTGTGAGTTTACTGCAATTTTTCGATAAATTTTTCATCTAAAACAGAAAAATAACGTTGTTTATTTTTTTTTATCAATACACTCAAATATATACACAAAATTTCTTTCTCCATTCTTTGAAAAAAATTTTTTGGGACTGAAAGAGTTGTAGAGTATATTGTGGCACGTGGTATAATTAACGAATTGGACTTTATCGCCAGAACGAAGTAGATACACAAGAAAGAAAGAGGGGAGGAGGCGTGCGCACAATGTTACGAAGGTATACACGCAATCTCTCTGCATGACAAAAAGATCGAATACAAGTTAGAGCCTGCATATCCTCCTCCGAGCGACGGAAAAGTCGCGCGCTTGATCCACCACCTGCGAGACCGCGTTGAATGCGGCGACGAAACATGCTGATGGGCATTCTGTCTATCTACTTTCAGGGCCCCATGGGACTGAGGGGAGAGTCCGGAAAGCCCGGGGATTCCGGGAAACCTGGCGCCATGGTAAGAACGCGGACCTCCCGCTCCTAACGTCATCGTAACTTGGCGTCGCCGCCGCGGAATTCGCTGATAAGCCGATAAGTGCGTTCACACACTATCGCGCGACGCAGCCTGGCGAAGCGTGCCTCTCGATCGCCTCTCGAGTACGCTTTACTTCTGCGTGTACATACGATACCATACAAAAGGGCTTTTAGGGTAAGAGGGAGCATCGACGAAGTGCGACTGTCGTCACGTCGAGAATGGTGATTCGAAAGGAGGCGAGCGGACGTCTGGTTAAATATTTTGCGCGCGCGAAGACAGTCGCTGCCGACGACGACGACGACTGCCGTTAACGCGTTATCGATACAATTGCAATCGCGAGGCGTTTAGGACTCTCCAAGTTGGCTGGATTCCGTCGAGATGGATCTCGAGCGCCGTCGGTCGGTCTCGTCTGCCAGCGAGGTCACTACAGACTCTACGTTCGAGGTGTTTTAACGCGAAGTTTAACGACAGCCTTCTTCGAAATTGAGAAAATTCGATCCACTTTGATACGGCGGAACGCCGAGGTCGCGCATTTTTCCTTTCGACATCGGAAAGTATATTACCGATCGAATCTCACGGACACACGTGTGTCTTGAAAGAATACGCGCGCCTCGGCGTTGAAAAGTTTTCAACGTCGATGGTGTTCCTTTGCGTCCGACTTCGCTCGAGAACGAAATCCAAAAATCGGATCATACAAGTTCCGTACACTGGAAAAAATCTACTAAATTCTAATACATATTTATTGAATAGTGCTAAGTAAATATTTACTTGCAATAAATATTTACTCAACAAACAAAATGATAATTAAATCAAATCGATGATTTTTGTATTAAATAAATATATGCTTAACATTTAGTAAATATTTGCTTAGAATTATTCAAATGAATATTTGTTAAATTTAGTATTGTTTCAGTGTATATAGCTTGCGATCGTAATTTTTCACAGCGTTTACAGGCGTGGAATAGATTCGTCGAGCGATTCGATGTCTAATGTTGGCGACTACAAGAACGCGGAAGGGACGTCTTCCAGGGTACCAAAACTCGTCAAAGAGTTGGCCACACGAAGTGAAAATTACGCCTGAAAATCGGTGATATTGGAATAAAGCTGTATATGTTCGGTTACTGCCTAAAATTATTTTAGAAGACGGATTCTTTGACGAATTCTTAAAAAGGCACATTTTCGATGTATTCTCTAATTAAATTGCCTGAAATTATTGGCTGAGAAAGAAACTTCGATTCGTCAAAAAATTCGTTGCTAAAATATATATCTTCTCGAGATCATCCCTGTATGTTCGATGTCGTGTACACCGCGGAGCTGCTTATTCTGCAAAGAGTTTAAACCAGATTAATGAATTAATTAATCCGCGGGCAAAGAGACCGCGATATCACATGTTCGCTTTAACGAACTCCATGAGATTTGGTTTACGCCACTTTCAAAATAAGCTGCTCGATCTCGGTTCACGCGTTAACGCATTGCTACCATCCGTCCTCTTAATTTACTCTACGTGTCGGCTTTATACGCAAGCCGCTCGCGCCATCGAGAACAGATTCTCGATTGTAGACACGAGTACTCAGAGTTTGGTGGATCTAAAAAGAATTCGAACTTCGCCGTCCCGCTAAATTTTGTGTCATCAGCGTATACGAAAAGAAGCGTACGGACGCCGTTTCTCCGAACAAGTCATCACAATAATGTAAGCATGTAAGGACTTCTCGATCTTATCGAATTAAATGCGAAAACGGTGCTTTAGTTATCGCACTATTGCAGCATAACGGAGTGAAGTATACGATATTATTTCATCGCGTTATATACGAAATATATTCTACTTGATAATTTCGCGATATTTTATCCCCTCGAATCGCATAAATTTGCGTAGTACATTTTGCATAAAACTTGAAGAGCGTGCTTTTTATTTAGAGCTCAATTTTTATTTGAAATAAACTATTTTTTACAAATGTGACAAGAAGAAAGAACAAAATTAGATGAAGGCGCAGTTTTACCGGTCCAGAAGTGTCGAAAAGTAGAAGTTTAATTTTCGCCCAAACTAATTTGACGAGCCTTGAGAAACAATTTTCAGTCTGTCCCTTGTCTGGTAAAATCTACTTTTCCGTTGTGCCTCTCTTGAGAATAATTCAGTCGGCTTGTACTTAACGAAAGCTCGCTCTCGCAGCATTGCCGGCACCTAATAATAACCTAGCCATTTATCATGATTCCTCTTCGTTCTACATTTCTTCGTAGCATTCCAGTCGCATTTCACGAATCATCAAGAATTCCGCACGGTTACAAGGGAAGGGAAATTTCTGTAAGATATATTGATGAAGGGGAAAAAGGAGGAAAGAAACAGAAGAGAATAAAAATTAAGACTCCCGATCACATCGCTATTGTACTAAATTGTGACGTCAAAAGCGAGAAATCGGACGTGATCCTTTCTCTCACGATAAAAGTTAAAGAACAAATGTAAAAACAAGATTCACATCGAAGTACAAGTTAATCGCGTTGAACATTTTCCTGATTACTCGTTGCTGGCGTCAGGATGGCTTCATCAGGAACATCAATAACATCTCTCATCTTTCAACACTGCTTGATCAGGACGCGAACATTGATAAAAATCGCGTTGATTGATAATTAAATTTGCTAAAAGCGGCTTCTCGCCCAGAATACAGCTAGATGCGTTTTAAATCATCGCTTGCATAAAGCTTGCATAAAGAAGCAGTAGTCGAGGCGTGGCAGCGGAAGAGGGAGAACCGGGCAAATGTCGGTGTATTCCGACTCCCTTTACATTCGGCAAGCATCTTTTACGAGAGTCGTGGGAAACGTCGGTGATATCGCGCGTGAACATCGGTCGCGAGAAAATTTCATGTTCGCCGAACAGTAGTAAAACCGTTTCCGAGACTGGCCGCTACGAATAATAAGTAGGAGGTACACCTCGTCCCTCTCTCTCTCTGTCTCTCTCTCTCTCTCTTTCTCTCTCTCTCTCTCTCTCTCCCTCTCTCTCTCTCTCCCTCTCTCTCTGCCTGCACTTTCGGCTTTTCCGCTCTATCCTGTCGGGTGCACTAACGTGCTATCGATAGTTTGCGATATTTTCCTGCGGAACTCTAACGTAGCTGAGAAACACAAGTGCGTGACGTTTTCATCAATAATAAAGTCGATACGACATGCTCTTTGGCGATATAAACTAAACGTCAACTACATAAACGCTTGGTGGACGCGATTTAACGTTTACAATAGTCAATAATTTCGACAAGCGTTTCTCGGCGACGTAGTCGACAAATTCGGAGTTAACCGAGCTTTGTCCTTTTACAAAGTGTTTTGCGAATGCTGACAGAAATGTGGAAGGGTTTCAATATCATGAGTTACGATCCTCGTGTCAGTTCGGGAATATCGCACGATTTACACGCAAGATGTAATTACTGTAGGTGATCACTCGGCCTAAGAAGGATCTTATTCGAAGTACAACGAGATGCTCCATGAAAGCATCTTTAAAGACGATCTCGATATATAGGAAAGTCAAAAGTACTTCCAACTACTTCCTGTGAAAGATCTGTGGTTGGTGCGGCTTCGATCGCACGGAAATTGATTTACTGAAAATTGTCCCTTCAATTTTAAAATCCTAGAGATACAATAAATCGCAAGAATCCTCTCATCCGTGAGCTGGAATTAATAACAATTTTTCCACGGAAATTAATTTTTACACAAGAATTGATAACAATTAATTGTATCAAATTCGTGTCGAAAAATACTGTTCTATGAAGCTACAGCATTTTGAGTCGTTTAAATCAACTTCCGCGTTAATCGATCGCACACTATCCTCGACGTCTAAAAATACAAGAGGCAAGAAGAATCGCTAAAATGTACAGTGTAGAATATACGGTGCCCTCGGCACGCCGTCACAATCGATGTACCGTATACAACGGACTATACAAGCGGACTACTTCTAACACCCTGTATACATCCCGATAAATTAACGCAGATTTAGTCTTAAGAAGATAAACTGGACGAGAAAGTCTGCGCGAGAGAGCGAAACGAAGTTCCGTCGGACTCCATGCCGACGATCCCTATCTGGCGGCAATTCTCCTGTGCGTGTAAAGTTTATGACGCCCACATATACATATTTAATACACGAGCACGAACACGTCATATATGTATACAAACGCTCACACATACACGCGCGACACACGTGCGTGTGTGTGTACACAAAGGAACGTATGTGTGAAACGAGAAACGCAGTCGCGTCGAGATGCGCAAGTCGAGAGATGTATATAAATATACAGCTATTCTCAATCCTATCGACGAATACGCGATTTTTTTCGGGACGCCAGAACGGAGTTTTTCAGTTTTATTAAATATACTCTTGCTTGCGTGAGTATCTCGTTGATCAATGGCGAAGAAACTGAAACGTAAATCAATATGGAAACGTCTGTAATTATAAATTCTGTAGAACAAGGATATCTATGTTTGTTTTAATTTGATATACAGCCCCAATCTCGCCGAAATTTCAGTCAACGAAATACTCACGAGTAAGAGTACCATTAAAAAGTTCCGTTTTAGTGCGCCGGATGGCTCACGAAAGTTCGCCGATGAAACTCGAGAACGCGCTGTATACTCATTTGTATGTGTATGTCTGTAAATGTAAGTACAAGTAAAAGGTGCATTTACACACGTAACTGCGTATCGTGTGCAGGTATACACACACACACACGCACACACACACACACACACACACACACACACACACACACAAACACACAGGCTGTCAACGTTGTGTCGAAGGCCTCTTACGGATTCGTTGACGAACCTGAAAATCGACTTTTCCTTCGTAACGAAAATCTTGACATAATCTAATTAGGATGATTTCCGACGTCCGAGATTAAAGGATTTTCCTCGAATTATAAAACTGTACTCCGAGATGCGAGAGCAGCTAATATTTTTCAGCTAATTTAAAACGAGTTTTGTCTTAACGAAAATTTCAACTTTACTTGTCAAATATTTGATCTTTTCGCCTGAGCGAAAGTCGACTGTGCGCGGAAGAATCCATAATTGGAGGAATGTTTCAGTAGACACAGGAGACACTCTGTGTGCACATATATATATGTACACATATATATATATATATATATATATATAAATATATATATACACAAGTATATGTACACACGAATCCTCAGGCGTGTGTGTGCGTGCGTTAATTGTTAAGGCGGCGTTCCTCTTAAGCCGATCAACTTAAGGCGACCTAATTGAATGCGTATGTGAATACTGATTCTAACAGCAGTTTTGTTTTACATTGTCCCGATTAATAAACAGAATGTGCATGTGCCTGTGTCCTTTGCTTCTAAAACTGCCTACCAAATTAATGCTTTCACACACGATAATCCAGTAACATAATCAGATACCTTTTGCTTCTTTGCATTGTGTTCCGACATGTTTTGCGATCCGAGCCAATCCGGACAACGAGATTTCTCTGCTCACTTTCGTTCTTCCGTTCTCTCTATGTATTTGCATCTGTTGCATAAAATTGCAATGGAAAACGATTAAAGACAAGGAGAAAAGAAACAACTAAAAATTAACACGTGTTAATTTGCTGCGACCACGATGGTGGCGTTAATCGGCGGATCGTTCAGACCGGCGATTAATCTTGCTACCTTAGAAATAAGATCGAAAAGAAGAAAAAAAAAGAGGATAAGCACAAAGACGCGACGAAGCGTCGACGCTTCGGTACGAAGTACGCTCGTTTTTTTTTTTTTTCTTTCAACTTTGCTCAAGCTCTCGCTTTACCTTCCGACGACGCCGACCGCCCTCGATTGTCAGTCTGTCCCTCTCTCTATCTCTATCTCTCTCTCTCTCTCTCTCTCTCTCTCTCTCTCTCTCTCTCTCGGTGTCGGAATTAATTTTGATAATACGAAAGCGGGGGTGAAGATTATATCTTGCGATGATGGGCGAAGATGAGTTTCGTAGTTGAAACGCCCAAAGAACGGAGACTAAATCTAATTCATTATACGCCGAGTGAGAGTTTTATTCGCGAAAGAAATGTTTGCACATCGTTTTTAAGAAATAGCTCGGAATCTCTCCATCATGAAATTATACATAATAAAAATTCGCAGTTACACCTCAAATATTTACCAAGTATGGGAATATTCGATGTAACAAGAGCGCGAGTACAGAATCCGATAGAAACGCAATTTCGTTACAACGAAAACCGATCGAATATCCCCGGCCAATATCTGTACCGACACATCAAGCGCGATATAGCGCAACTATAACTTAATTTGAAAATCCGAACGAGAGTTTCGAAACTTCCTCGCGCGCGCAGGGATACTGCGAGGGGGCGGACGTAACGCGATCGAGAGTTGCAGCTATATATATTTATATAGTGAAACAGCAGCGCTGTGCAAATATTCTTTCTCGCCGAGCCGATGGAATTTTCACGCGAATCGATCGGCACAACGAGAATTAAACCGAGAACCGATCCTGAAACCAGGGATGTGCGATCTCCAAATCGATTCGCTAAAAAGCGATTTTTTGCAAAAATATCCCTCTTCGAAATAGTCCTCTTTGTTAAAAAGAAAATAAGCAATTCTTTACAAAGAGAGATCGGTTTTAAATGGCTCTTTTTGATTGAAAAAAATAAATTTTTCGCAAACAGATTGGTTTAAAATCGCTATTGTCATTTGGGAAGATCGATCTTTTGGAGATTCGAACATCCCTGCCTGAAACACTCGAGGGCGCAGCGACGGTGTCAAAAGGGCGATCTCTAATAATAAAAGTTTCCCTCCGCGACATAGTTTTTAAGTCGCTGTCGACAATATTACACGCTCGATATTATCGATGGGCTACGTCGTGTATCTGACGAGGTTTCCTCTACCTTTCAGGGATCACCAGGATTAGACGGCATGAAGGTGAGCGATCTACGGGATGACCCCGTTTTCACTATATCATTACTTTTCTCGTTCTCGGACACGCTCTATTTCCGTGTCTCGGTGTCTCGTCTCTCGTCTTATCTCGTCTCGCGAACCGAAATATATCAATCAATCGACCGAAATTAGATTCGAGAGAACGCGAGCGCGGTTTCATCCTCATTGGCTTTCTTTTAACGACGAGAGCGAGCCGAGTTACTCAAAATCGCTCGTCATGTTTCTTCGTACTTTCAGGGTGCACAGGGCGAGCCAGGAACGAAGGGAGAAAGAGGAGATCCGGGATTGCCTGTAAGTCCTATGCTTTATCAAGTATTTATCCGCCGTTCGAATCTGATCCATCTAACGTGCGATATCGCCTCGCTTTGCTCGTGTTTATCGAAATCTTTCAGCAATGTATCTCAAGATTTACCGAGTATTATCCTGAGGCAATCTTGCCCTTCATCAAACAATAATTTTCTCTCGGTTTCGCGGTCGGATCGTTCGAGGCGTTCTCGATAAATATTTTACCGAGATAGATTTCTCTCTTTATACATTTAAAGTCGATCTCTACGGCAATCGAATTCCTTGACAAATAATGCTTCAAATGAACTCTCGATTGCGCAATCAGCGCACAACGGAAAGGAGAGATACTCACGGGATACTCTTTCGCGAATTCGATCAAACATTGTGATTTCGATCGATCGCCGATCTTTTTCAATCTTTGTTTCACGTCACTCGCGATTTCTTAAGTCCTGTGATCGTCGCGCAGTCACGTACCGAGATCGAGTCATGTCCGAGATACGGGCGTCAAGTTAACTCGCTGACTCGATTACATCTCACCGTCGTCGTCACGAAGAGACACGCTAACGAGTCGATCTGTGTTTGTCCCCAGGGTACCGACGGGATTCCCGGTGCGGAGGTACAGTTGGCTTTCGATTATCGCTCGTCCTCCAGCGCGACTGCGACACAGTCTGACACGGTCTGACCAGCCCGGGGTAACGACGACACATTCCGCCTGATCTACCCCGGGGACTGTCTTGAAACAAAAAGAAAAAGAAAAAAAGAAAAAAAAATCAAAAAGAGCCCTCTCTTTTTGCCTCCTCCGTCCGATTTCGAAGAGAACGGAGCAGCGTCTTGCGCCTTTCTCCCTCTTTCGTTCGGAATCTAGTCTCACAAATTTCTTTTTTTTTTCCTTTATATTCAATTGCATATCAAAAGTCATGCACAGATAATTTTTTCAATTTAAGTATTGATATATATGTAGAACATAATTCCAACGCGATCGATTCCGTGTGTCATTTGATATTTTCGCATAATAATGCTTTATACAAAGAAGATCAGAGTTTATTTTGATATTATTTGCACGAGTAACTGTTGAATTAGATTTAAGAAATGGATAAGAACTAGGTGGTCCCTAGGTGGTGTACCACCTCGTCGGCATATGACCAAGTTAGAGAGGGTCGTACCCGATGAAAATTTACGGCCGAATTATAACGGAGGGGGAAACGCGCAACTCCCTCGTGCTTCTCTCTGGAGTATCCGGAAGGATGCTCGAGCAGTGCTCGTGTGACCGCTCGATGCGCACCAATGCGAGAGCGTATAAACGGAACAACTCTCTTGTATGTACTCTCGAATGCACAGGAAGGTACTTGAAGAAGGATAATCTCTTTCACCTTTGAACATACGACTATATATCTCACATCGTACGAATAGTTGTATCTCCCAGGGCGCAAATGTTTCCTTTTTTATTTAAAATTAGAACCACAGATTTAAATTAATCGCGATTCAAAGTAAATTTAACTTTTTACAAGTGAAAGATGTTGCCGTAAAAAAATTACTTGTAATTAATTATGATTATTTGTGAAAAGTCATAAAAATTTTAAGCTTCACGTGCAAATAAAAAAAATGCCATTCGTTAGAAGAAGGAAATTTTAAATTAAAAGCGTCCATGTAACTCATCGCGGCGTGCATATTTATGAAGTGCATCTTAATGCCAGTTTCCATCTATATATATATATACAGAAAAAAAATTAGTCTTCGACAATAATATTTTCATATATAAACAAAAATATTTTAATCCTGTTTTAAAGATTTTAGTTTTGATTTGATTGAATTATATTGCTGCAAGATTTTTAGTCTTGAATTATTTGAATGCAAAATAATACTTGCAACACAAATTTAATCAAATCAAGACTAATTGTAAGATCTTTGAAACTAAATTATAGAATATTTTTGCTTATGAGCACGTTAGTGTTAATTTAAGAATAGTTTTTTCCTGTAGATTATTAATTTTAATGTAGATTATTAAGTATTATTAATTTTAATGTAGATTATTAATTTTAATCTCAGTTCAAAATTTACTTTTCATCTTCTTCTAATCCTAAGAATTAGAAAATGAGTTGAATCGATAATAAAGTTAATCTACATTGATGGAAATAAGCATAAAAGTGTATACCATTAATATATCGCGGAGAAAAAATTAGAAACATATTAATCTTACTGAAGCCTTAATTTCTTTCAAAATTGTGATTCTAAAAATAATATTGTTATATAAATAATTGCACGTGAATCTGCAGTTAACAAAATTCTAATTGTTCGGAAAGTTAAACTGAATCTAAAACGGAAAATTCTGTGCCTGTGTGTCTCTCTCTTTCTCTCTCTCTCTCTCTCTCTCTCTCTCTCTCTCTCTCTCTCTCTCTCTCGTATCGGTGCTGCTTTTATTGACATCGGATATTCTCGGTTTATTGACGTCTCTCGTCGGAGGGAAGAGCAATAACCAAGTGATCCACTCGAAATGCCGTGCCCGTGGTTCCGGCTGCGAATCGATATGCCACCCTTTCCGCCCCTTTCTCGATGAAGTGACGGATGATGGTAACGGAAAAGCTGCCGGTGATCGATATACATATAACATATACGATATCGCGGTCACACGCGGCACCTTTCCTCGAGCTCTCTTTCGAGCTTGGAAACTCGCTTTTCTTTCTGGAACGACCGGCGTCTCGCGCGCGCAAAACGACGGCCAACGTTTACCGAATAAATTCCTTTTGACCGTGTTCACCAATTCCAGGGACCGAAGGGAGAGAAAGGTGCCAAAGGCGAATCTGTGAGTATTGACTTAATTCGAGTAATTCACGTTTTCGATGCGCGTGCTCCGCCGCGCGATTGAACGCGATCCACTCGGAATTATATCGTCACTCTCTTTCTCTCTAATTTCTCCTTTCCTCTCCTCTCTCTCTCTCTCTCTCTCTTTCTTTCTCTTTCTCTCTCTCACACACAAGGATGCGAAAACGATCGTGCGTGATTAGATCGCCTATACGCTTTACGAAGATTGTTTATCGAGCGATAACCGACGAACCAGAGCGCTATATTCGGATGCAGCTCACTTCATAATGGACGTACAATCATACGCTATCTCGACGAGTCAGCGAATAGTCTCGTACACAGGAGGATCCCTGCATTAGTCGATTAGTTTACCTTTACCTTTATCAAAACCACCGAGTTCGAGATGCCGGACCAGTGAAGGCGAAATTAATTATCGTCGTTGGCACTCTAGATTTCGCTTGATTTAACTCAATTTCGAGTACTATCGGATGTTTTGAATTGAAAGGAAGAGATCGATCGTGCGTGTTTTACACGAGTTTCGTGGCTGTTAAGTAAACGAATTGTCACGCACTCACGTCGCCGCGCGATACGTCCTTTCGCATCCTCGTACCTATCTTTTATTCACAACTATTGCTGCAATCACGTCGGTGGGACTTCACCGTGCCGTCGCCGACGTCGTCGTCATCGTCGTCGTTCACGACGAGGAGACAGCGGGATCTCCACGGAGCCACAAGATCACGAAAAGTAGGAAGCGGAGGAAGTTCTAGTTGTAGGAACACGAGGAGAATCTCCTCAACACATGCCCACTATTCCCACCAAGTTCCACATGAGACTAACACACTTTGCGCGTACATAGATATTTGTAAATATTATACATAAATATATATATATATACATATATGCTGCTACCACCGTTCCGTGAAAGCGCATAATGACGAGGCGCGAATTATGTTAGAAGAAGAGACATTAACATTAAACGCTCGAGGAACGAAGCGCCAACGGGAGCACTGTCGCCGTCGCCTTCTCCTTTTTTTTTTTTTTTTTTTTTTTCTTTAGGAAATCATGTCTCAGCTTTGATGATAGAAAAGATCGTGTCTCGGCGATCCGATAATTACAGTGAATTAAGTCAAAAGGCTATGATCGACCGAGAAATGAAAGAGACCTTTCGCAGTAATTATCAATTAAAATCCGTTATAATTAAACTGCGACCTTCGACAGGCTCACCTTCGCTCTTTGTACTCATCGGGGTATTGTGCACCGGATCGATCAAGTACTATAATGCATAATCCAACAATATTATGCCTGGCCTTATTTGCACGTCGCGTACTTGCATCGGGTGTTTCGCGCTGTCAGAAAGATGATGCATTTCGCGTGTGCGCGCAGGGGCCGCCGGGTAAACGCGGCAGAAAAGGCGACAAGGGCAACAAGGGAGATCAAGGTGTTCCAGGATTGGATGCCCCGTGTCCGCTGGGACCGGACGGACTCCCCTTACCGGGCTGTGGCTGGAGACCACCGCAGGTAATCGATAGCTTTATTTTGTTTCGGAGTTTGTTTGGGCAGAAGGGATTGTGGGAATAAAAATTGCGCCGTATATAATCTCAATTCGTAACGAGAGAGATTAACAAAAAGTGCATTAAGACAAATACATATAGATATTACGAAATCCTTGGGAATTCTATTTCAAATCGTGGTTTATCAATCATAATTATATAGATATTATGTAGTTTTTCATGAAATTATATAAGAGTCGCTTTCGCAAAATGAGAGAAACGCGCAGATGTTCCATTGGACATTAATTTCGCAGTGCAATAGAGATAAAATGATAATGCTCCATGAGTCTCCCGTGGATTTCGAAATAACCCTCCGTGGTCTAACCAGGGCTTTGAAGACCCAGGCGAATTTTCTATTTTGAATTATTCTGCTTCAAATTCGGGCATGTACAAAAATAAACCGTTGCGGGTTGTATCGTTGTAAAATCGTATTTTCGAATGTTGAAAGAGTGCACCAGAATTTTTTCAGATTTTTTTATAACTCAAAAATCCTTTGGAAAATATAATCAGGCAGCAGTGACTCGGTTGAACTAGTGCAAAAAAACGTTGGATCACGGAGGGCTAACACTAGAATCGCCGATGATTCCATTAATTTTTTTTTATATTAAATATATATACAGTAATAAATATACATACAATATTTTGTATTAAATACAGTAAAATATTAAAACATGAATATAATATAAATAATAAAAATGAAGATAAATCTTCTTTAACCGAAAACAAGGATATAAAACTATTAAATTAGCTACCTTCGATAGTTTTAACAGGATACCGTTGGCGATATCTAATGTTAATTAATTGATAAAGCGAATAGTGTTTGACAAAAGCGGATTGTCCGAGCAAAAACAGATCGCGTTCTTTGGTAATTATTACGGGGGTATTATAACAACAGCGCTAATAGTCTACTAATACCAAACGGGATAAAAGGGATAGAGAGAAGTAGTGCCGGGGTACGCTTGGATTCTGGTGTGTGCTTAGCAGGACATCACGAGCACATCCGTACCGGCGATCGAGGGTCCTGAGCCCGCAGAAACGGATTACGAGGAGCCGGAGGACGAGTACGACGACTATACGGACCCGAACGGGAACCTAGCTGAGCAATAATGCTCGTTTTTGTGCGCTGCCCTAATAACTACCGACAACTACCACCAATACCGACACCATCATCATCACTACCACCACAACCACCACCACCATCACTGCCACCCTCATCACTCGTCTCACCCCGTTCTCCCAAACTAACGTGATCCTGGTAATTGCGAATCCCATAATAATACTAACGCAATGCGATGTTCATCGACAACTTGGTTTCGCAATAAGATCCTATTGTACTTGCTGCTTCCTAATGCGATATCTATTGGTTGCAATATCAAAGACAAACTGCTTTATGTGTGTTCGAAGTCTAGCGGAATCCGCCATGCGAGTAGAATTGTCAGAATCTTTTGTAGATCTAGCCCTTTTATATGTAAACTGCTTGCACATTTTCTTCAATCCATTAATGTGTTCATGAGCACTTACGTTCTTATTGAGAATTAAACGAATCTTTAATTTTTATTAATTATTAGAACACATAAATAATTACATGCAAATTTTTCTTTCCTATTTCTTTCCAACTCATTAATACAAAGAGAAAAATTTAAGAAGACTTTTATTAGATATAAAAAAAGATTAAATGCGAATATTAATCCTAAATATGTACACAATGACAATTTTCTGATCTTTTATTATAAACATTCATTTGTAGGTTCCGGGATTATTTTCACCACTTTTGCAAGCATACAAAAATCATATGTACAGGGTGAATCAGAGTCATTGAACTTTTATGAGAAAATTATCGATTTCGTACCTCATTGAATAATGTGTGCAGTCAATTATTTTCTCATAGGGTAAAAAGCTGGTTCAATGACTCTGATTCACCTTGTATATATATATTAAGTGATAAATTTTAACATCTTTAGAAAGTATTTGTATTTGTATATTTTTAAAAATTGTATATAAATAATTGTAACTAATAACTTGATACTAGTATTTCGAAAAAAAGAAATGTGCTAGAACATATGACTCAATCGTGTGTAATTAACAATAAAAGTTGAGCATCCTATCCAAGATAAATGTCTTTTTTAATTTATTTCTTATCTATCTGCACGTATAATTATCTATTCACTTGTGCACTTGTTTCTCTCATCCATTGATCTATACATCTCAAAATTAATTAATCTGACAAATTCTCGAAAAGATTTCTAGAAATCTAGTGCAGCTTCTGTCTTGTGCCCAATGGATGCGTCGAGACGATTCCATCGGGAATAAATGATCTCGAGCTTGCTTATGCGAAGAACATCAATTCTATTTAAAGATAAATGATCAATGACACCTATCTCTTTTGTTTTGCAGCCAAGGAGCAACATCCTGCGCCAATGGCTAGAGGAGGAAGAGGAGGATGGGGAGGAGAAAGAGAACGAGCGGCAGTGATGTTGCAAGGACAATAGCGCATTTTTTTCATAAGGACTTCTGTATATCCTTCCGTTCCCGCCTCCGTCTCATTACGATCGCGATACGAAAGAAAAAAAAAAAATATATATATATATATACATATTATATATACGCCAAAATAATCATCTTGCCATCGAGAGTGTTGTAAATATGTGTACTTACAGTGTCTAGCGTCCGCAGTGCGTGTACATAAGTAATTAGAGCTTACTGCGAATCTACGGTCGTATCACGACAACGATGATAGTCCTATCGTCGGCTGATACGGTTTGCCCATAAACGTCACACATAACATGTGCACACATACAAAGGTATACGGTGATGGATCCGTGATCGATACTTCCGGTTCTGTATGCGAGGAAGGACAGGGAGAAGTCTTCCGGGTGAATTCACGATGATCTTTGCGTGGACGAACGTCGCGACAGGATTGACGGAAATATTTTGGAGCAAATGAACGAGGAATAATCCAGGAAGAATCGCAGTGAAGTGCGTGAAGGACGCATCTTGCGGATGAGCGTGATGGTACGAGATGGGGAAGAAGATGCGCGTTCGCCTATCATGCAACTCGAACGTTCTCCGTGCGAATCTTGCAGCGACACTTTGCGAATTTGAACGCAGCTAGGACGATGAGACACGAGCAAAGAAGTGGAAAAGATCGCAATGTATCGATGGATTAGCTCTTAGCCGTGGTCTGAAACGCATTTCGAATCTATTCCCTTTTTTTGTCTTGCACTTCGCTTGAAAATTCTCGCCCGAAGTAGGAGATTATATTCATACAGATATCTTCAAAGTTCCTTTAAGTACAGCTACACTGAAAAAATTTCACTAAATCTTAATACATATTTCTTTGACTATACTAAGTAAATATTTACTTACAGTAAATAAATATTCGTCCAATAAAAAATAATAGTTAAATTAAACTAATGTATCAAATTTTTGTATTAAATAAATATGTGTTTACGTTTAGTAAATATTTATTTAGAACTATTCAAGCAAATATTTATTAAAATTAGTATTTTTTTCAGTGTGAGAAAAAACTATATATGAAAAAACCTGAAGTTCTAAAGCGTCCCGTATTTGAAGTACAGAATAGTGAATCTCCGCCTTAGCGATTGATAGAAAAAGGTTCAAAGTTTTCGTTACCTACAATTCAGAATCTCAATATTAATTGTACAGATTGTATCAATCATCTAAAATTATCGCTTCGAGTTCAAATGACTTATTGCTATAATCGAGAATTAAAAAATTGCATTTCATTACAAAAATTGCATGCGATTCAGGTTGCTCTTTAGCTAATCCTACGGGAGAGACGTATACCGATCCATGATGTAAGAATACAAGATTTTATTGCACATAATGGCGAATTTATTATTAATGATAAATTTCTAATGGATTCTATATTGGCTTATAACATTTTTGGGCTAATTTTCTGATTGGTCATCGACTTCGTATCTCGGAAATGAAATATCTCGTATTCTTATATCATACGCCGATCCGTACCAATGAAGAGACGAATTTCGCCGCACTTTTATCGTAAAGCAACCGTAGACTCGCACGACGAGGCGCTTTTTGATACGACTAGTTGATTAGTGCCGCGCGATCCTGCGTTACTCTCGTCTAGATTAGAATCGTAATCTAACGCTAGTATCATGTGTAATGCAAGGAAAGAGAAGGGACTGTACACACACATTGTTAATACTCGCAAGGTATCGTGGAATAAACCAATGAGCGTAAATCTTCTCAATGTCAGAAATATCGGATCGTCGCGGCATCTCACACAACTATGTGTGTTCTCTTTTTTTTCTATCTCTTCGGACGTTTGTAGTCCTCCAAGCGTAAATATTTTCCATACGGGACAATATCGCTTCTGGGGAAAAAAAAAGAGAAATGAAGAAGATAAAAACGATAGAGCCGAGGTGTTGCCCGTTGCAATATTGACGTTCAGAAGCTACGTTCGAGCCACGTGTGTAGAGCACGGCTTATCTCCGGCGCATTGATCTTCTTCCCGCTAGAATAAAATATAAATGACATTCTTCTCCGAAGTATTAGTATTTATTTCACGCGAGCGCCGGAGAATCGTATTTCGTTTATAGAACCTCTCAGGATTGAATCTTTCGGTTATTACATTCGGATATTTTTGGTCTGAAATAAAAATTTTCGGAAACCTTTCTTCGTCTAGAATCTTTCGAAAGCAATGTCGGGAGGAGGATTAATTTGGATTCAGTATAACGTAGAAAGTAACTCAAGGGACGTTTTTATCGTAATTTATTGCGGTATTTATTGCCATTTACATCCGTCACATTTTAAGTAATTTGTACTTTTTAAAATACGACTGCACTTTGTCTTTAGGATAGGGCTTCGTTACCAGACACGTCGCGATGTTCTCGGGCTGTTCTATCCACAGCTTGTGTTGAATGTTGTCCTCCTTCAGTTTTGCGCACAGTATCTGCAGACCGGCTTCATCGGCAGCCTATTATTCATACTCGTGATTTCACATAATTTTATTCGAGAATGATTCGTTTGGGCATTCTTACAGCATTCAAAATATTTTACGAAATAACAGATAAGGTCTGTTCTTTGTCGCTGTATTGTATTAAAATTTTCTTTCTCCCTTTTGCTACAAATATATATCTATTTTATTTTAAGTACCTAGGGGAGGGTTTGGAGAGTTCAATCTCTTCTCCATGAAATTTTTGTTTCACTACACTGAGAGAAAAAAAGGTTGCAATTATCATAATTTAATTATAATTTATATTTTTTGGGACAATTATATATTTATGTAAATATATTTAATTTTATTTATAATACGCTACTTGAAAATCTTTAATTTTTCTCAACATACTTTTAGTTATTATTATCACAAATAATAAGTGAATAAAGGATATAAATAATTAATTAATGCATAAAAATGTTTATTTTATTTACTATTTACATAGATCGTGATATTTTATTGTATTAATGTTTGAAATTATCATAATTTATAGTTTAATTTTTCACATATATAATTATTACTGATATTATTATTACTGATATTATAACACTAATAAAAAGAAGGAGTTCCTAATTATAATTATTTTACCATGCGATTATAATCACAAATACCAAACACTTTTCTCTCAATGTATATTTTTCCCATTTAAAATCAGGAACAAAAAAGAGACATTCTAAACTATAAAATATTCAAAAAATAATTCATTAACATAAAAATTGCTATTTATGATAACAGAATTGTTAATCTCCCCAAAAAAAAATCTTTGATACGCTCACAAGTTTAGCCACAAAGAACAGACCTATAATGCGTCAGTTATAATTCTCTCTCTGCAAATACATCGCGGAACAAACGTCCCGCGATTAAACGCGCGCGGATTAACGGCTCGCGAACTTCCCTCGCGAAAGTCGATACTTACTTCGAGGACCACCTTGTGCATGTTGTCTAAATCCGCGAGGTAGGTCTGCGTGTGGGCGTCATTGTAAGAGAGATGGATAACGGCGGTGCACGCGTGACACGCTTGGGCAATCACGGCGCCCAACGGCCATCCCATCGTCCTCGCAAGATCTCCCCGCACCACCACGTACTGAACTATCCCGGACATTCTCTAGCGAGAAAGAGATCGGCTCTCCTTACATACATAATGTAGATTCGCTTCGGAAACGATCTTAAGGCGGAGTTCGGGGAAAAAAAACGGAGGAGAGAAAGGAATTGCTGAGGGATCTCTCTCTCGCGAAAAATCGAGCCTAACGCATTCGTCTAATGTTTAATAAATAAATAAAAATTCCTCCCTCACACCCTCCCCCCTCACTAGGTTTCGATTAATTACTAGTAAGTGCCAAAAAGTATATTATCATTCTTACAAATAAGAGGTATAACGCACACGCAGATATATTCGCGTGTTATTTATATATCGGAATTGTGTATCCCGCTCGGGATCCGCGGCGACGTGACGGCGCCGCGAAATCGCGCGTAGAAACACATTCGCTATAGCATCGTTCCTTCGATGTCGTGGCATAACGCAAAAGATGTATTATTTATACAGATTGTTGTTATTAAAGACAAATAACGCTGAAATAATTAGCACGTATGACACATTATGTTTACGAGACGGCGATTTATTCATACCCGACTCTTCTCTCTTATTTATTATTATTATCACTCTAATATTATTTATTGTTATTATTTTTATTATGCTTCTTTTCATTCTCTAAGATCTGGTTCCACCAATATAAGAATAACTTTAATTTTGGTTCAATTCACTCTTTATATTCTTTATATTCTTTTTTAATTCTTGGAATTAAAAAAAAATAAAGAAAAGCATTCTTAAATTTACTCTTTATCTTCTTCTAATTCTAAGAATTGAGTGAAAAGAGTGAATTAAACTGAGATTAATCTTACATTTATAAGAAATGGAACCTAAATATTTTCTTGTGCAAAATGATCATAGCGGATCACTACGGAGAGACATTTATCTTGTATAAGGAGAAAAAGAAGAAAGGAAAGGATATTTGGCAATTTAAATATTCGTCTACATATATCTTTAAGAAATATACATATTCAAGACAAATTGAGTGAAATTGAGTGAAGAACGACAAATGAACTTACCTTGAAATGATAACTTTTCGACAACTGTAGTGTCTACCGAGAGGTTAGCTGTCATTAATCGTACGTGATAAATATAATTTTCTTCAAACAATACCGATATAAAGATGCTAATCAATCCATGAGCACGTGAATTGAACTGAAATCTGATACAATCTGGCTGTAATTGAGTAAATTCGGAGTAAAAATTACGAGATGCTCCAATATGTATCTGTACTGTCATCTGCCCGGTAAGTATGTAAATATCAGTGCTGTTAACTTCAGAAAACTCGTTCTCCTTTGGTTTCTAGGGTACAGTCCAACTTGGCGCTACAGATGCTTCAAAGCTTTTGACCAATCAGAAGAAAGAATTTTGACCAATCAAAAAATGCTTCATAGAATCAAGTGGATCGTAATCTATGGAACCAATGCTGTTTCTGCATTTCATATGTCAAATGAAAGAAGATTGACCTGAGGTTTTTTCTCAGAATAAAATTGTCCAGATTCCTATATTTTTTTTCGAAATAATAGAACTCTT